TGCACACAAACGGCTGCTCACGTGAATCCAATAAACCGACGAGGACTCAGCATTGGAGCTGAGAACAATGCCCACAGCGACTTGATCAGTGATTGGAGCATCAGCGTCGCCGATTGCGAGCAGCCAATAGTCAGAAGATCCTCCGAGCGCAGTTAGTTCAACAACTCCGAGGTAACTGACCATAGCCTCACACAAAAAGTATATATACAGTATCCGACGCATGGGCGAGTGCAGTCTACTGAAATATTAGCCACAGATGGCGATTGAACTGTTCAATGAGCTTGGCAAATTTGTTGCAAACGTTTCGTCACTATTCGAGGTGACATCATCAGTGCGTAGTTGAGTGGCGCGCAGTAGCGTAGAGGAACGTCGGTGAGAGCGCGCTGAGCGTGGTGTGCGTGCGTATTTTATACCGCAGTGGTTGCCCGAAAAGATGAGTAATCCAATTGGTTGGGATTTTAATCCGCGTTCAGCTTGGTTGATGGGCAGATGACCATTGACCTTGAATCCTTGTGTTTCATGCCCGTTGCTGCTAGCTATTGTGAGCGAGCCTGTCGTCAGTTCTGGTTGTCTAGCCACAAGTTCCACCGCATTCAATCGATCAAGTTGGCGGTCGTTCGCCGGTAGTGTTGCGTATACTGCGTCCAGTTCGATGTGTCGATCGATTGAATTCGTTGTAAAGTACCACCCCTCCAAAAACTCCCTGACGTGTTTCGTACTTTTACATGCTACGATCCTTACATTCTCCAGATCGAAATGGTGGCCTTCTTGATCTTCATGCGCAGAAACAACTGAGTGCGGATCGTGTCTTCTGACGATCGCCTTGTGTTCGGTGATTCGTATACAAAGCTTTCTTCCGGTTTGTCCGACGTAGATTTTATCTCAGTCGCTGCATTTAAGCTGGTAGACCGCATTGCATTGGTTTGCTTGATTGACTTTTTCTTTGGGTCTTGAGATCAATTTCCTTAGGATGGCACTTGATTTATGAGCAACAGAGATTCCATGTGACTGCAGCTATCTTCCGGTTAGTTCGGAGACGTTATTGATGTAGGGGAGCACTATCCGTTTGTTTCCTTGCTTCCGTGACTGATGATGCTATTGCTGAGATATGCGTTTCTTTAAGCTCGCGATGAAATTTCACGGATAATCCGTATTGAAACGCATTGAAATCAAATGGACAGTCGGAAGAGTCCCAGCAACCTACACGGCAGAGAGGTGTTCCACTGAAAACTCGGAATAAAGTCAGAAAAACCCTGTCCAAGGAGGAACAGGATGCACTCATACGTCTACAGAAAGACGATAACATTGTAATCCTACCAGCGGACATAGGGCGTATGATAGTGATAATGGACAAATCGGAGTATATTAGCAAGGCTAAAGAACTATCCGACACAACTACATAACGCCAGATCGATCAAATTCAAAACTTGTCAACCAAATGAATGCAAGGCTGAAGAAGTATGGAATCCCGCAACAACTAATCGTCTCGCTCCGGGGAACCCCATCATATAAACTAGCGCAGAATTTGTGGAGGAAGTCGAGACATTTGTTTGCCTGATCCGAACACAACATCAACAATGCTGAACAATTCCTCAACAAACTGCGGATTGTCAGAATGGAAGACGATGAAATAATGCTTTTATTCGAGATCACCGCAATCTTCAATCGGTCACGAATTGGTCGAAGATACCATGATGGAAGTACCTGAGAATCAACTAAGCCCAACGACAACTATACGACCTGAAAGTATTTGGGAACTGCTGAACCTCTGCATGACCAGTTATTTCCGCTTTGATGGACAAATGTACCAGCAATTGAAAAGAACACCCATGGGATCACTAATTGCGGGGCTCATTGCAGAAACTGTAATGCAGAAAGTGGAACGCACTGCAATCTATCAGCCCAAAACTCTGGATACGATACGTGAACGACACATTTGTCACCGAAAAACGGAAGATAGTACAGGATACGCAAGATTTGCTTAACAGCACATTCGAGGAAATCAAATTTACGATTGAATTAGAGGAGGATAACAAGTTACCAGTTTTGGACATACTGATCACTAGGAATACCGCCGCATCTCTGCAAATGTGCGTGTATCGGAAGAAAACACATATGGATCAGATACTAAACTACCACCGCAACCACCCGATAAATCACAAGAGCTGCATTCAAACCCTGTTCAAAAGAGCGAAAACGCACTACAGCACAGTCGAATCGTGAGAACAGGAAGAAAATCACCTGTATCGACTGTCTAGAAACAACGGTTATCCGAGAAATTTCAGCAGAAGTATCTTAAAGGAACAAATGTCTCAGCAACAGCAGCATCAGTCACGGAAGCAAGGAAACAAACGGATAGTGCTCCCCTACATCAATAACGTCTCCGAACTAACCGGAACATAGCTGCAGTCACATGGAATCTCTGTTGCTCACAAACCAAGTGCCACCCTAAGGAAATGGATCTCAAGACCCAAAGAAAAAGTCAATCAAGCAGACCAATGCAACGTCGTCTTCCAGATAAAATGCAGCGACTGTGATAAAAACTACGTCGGAAAAACCGGCAGAAAGCTTTGTATACGAATCACCGAACACAAGGCGGCCGTCAGAAGACACGATCCGCACTCATTTGTTTCTGCGCATGAAGATCAAGAAGGCCACCATTTCGATCTGGAGAATGTAAAGATCGTAGCATCTGGAAGTACGAAACAAGTCAGGGAGTTTTTGGAAGAGTGGTACTCTACAACGAATTCAATCAATCGACACATCGAACTGGACGCAGTATACGCAACACTACCGGCGAACGACCGCCAACTTGATCGATTGAATGCGGTGGAACTTGTGGCTAGACGACCAATGCTAGGGCGTTTAGAAGTAGACAGGAGGATGATTAGATTTCGCAATCAAGGCCTTTAGCTCCAAAACCGGTCTGCAAGAAAGCAAGTGTGGTAACGATCCGGTTTTACAGAAATGGACTCTATCCTATTTCAAACGGCAACCTGAAGGACCAAGAGACTGAGTTTGTCCGACTCTACCCACTGGCCAACCTGGTAGGAGTAGCTCACAAGGGGCACGGGGCCCCACCCAGTGTAGCGCGATGGGTCCGCGAGGTACGCAAACCATCGCAACATGTAAAAGTCCAGTCTCGTTGTGAGGGCCCGCTTTGTACTCTTATTGTTGTAACTACATATCTATTGTCGATAAACCCTTCAGTCCTCGTCTGTGCTCGTAGACAAGCAGAGTGGAGTACATCAGAACAGCCAGAGATAAACCAATAGTGAAGAATTCAGATACGAGAATCCAGGGTTCGTCCTTCTGTGCAGAAAGGAGAACCAAAAGTATACCGGATACGGGAAGCGCATTGGCAACAAAAAAACATATAATGGGGAATAATAGCACACTTTTAGAGTAGCTGACATCATCTTTTATCCTGGGGATACTCCAAAATCACCCAATGAACTTTAACAGCTGTCAGTCATTGCTCGTGAAATTTAACGGCCCAGTAGTTCTGGCATCAGCCACCGAGTTCCAGTCCAAGTCCCAGTCCAGGCTATCTCTGTCTGAAGAGTCCAAAAGAGGACGAAACCGGTCTTCGGATGACAGTGTTGACAGAAAGCAGTTACGAAATTTGCCCCTTGGGAAGGGAGCCAAGTGAGCGGAATGGCCAAGGTTTACTTCATAGTACACTATGGCCACGATTGTGATTACGTAGCGTAATCCAGACAAAGCAGGTAATCTAAGATCCAACAGAGAACGCGGACTCTACCGACCCATGCAGCGACGTTTCCGGCTATTCCATTACCATAGATAATAGAGCCATCCAAACAAGTGACCGAACGACTGTAAGAAGTGGCGTCGTGTCGGTCCACTCAAGGATCAGCACTTTGCACCTCGAAAGTGTAACGAGTGTGCAAAAACAGGTAATGCTGTAAATCAGTAAATTCCGCAGATTTGTAAAGCAGCCAGGGCCGAACGCAATAGAGATACATAGGGATCCTTAGATCAGTCGACATTAAGAGGTTAGTTAGATTCGACAAACGATGCCTTCGCAGTTTGTCTCACTTCAAGGTGTGTTCGACGCCTTGTTTACGACGCGGAAAAAGGAACTGAGTAGCCCAGGGCCATAATTGCACGCATCAGGTTCTGATGGCTCGGCCATGTGTTACGCATGCCAATCCACCGGCTCCCGCGACGTGCGTTGTCTGCGCGCCTGTGTGGATGGAAGAAGAGGTGGTCAAGCGATGACTTGGTCGGGAGGAATAAAGGCCAGCACTTTGAAACTGGTCTCGGTTGGAGCTTCTTGGCTCCCTGGGTGAGGTATGAAAGATGAACATTTAACTAGATAAACTTGCTGACATGGCTAGGAGCCGACCCCAATGGAGTTCATGCTGTGAGTTATTTGTCCTTCCCCAGCCAAGCACGATCTCATTTCTCAGCATAATATAATATTACATAATAATTTTTTTACCTAGTAGCTGGTTGGCAGCTTTCCGGAACGATGCCTATCCGCTACTAGTAGCTCAGCTGACATGTATCTGTTGCAAATTTTTCTTTTATTTATTGCGGCACAGTAGTTGGGGTGTTTTCCGCCTCTAGCTAACGTGTATAATGATGCTGGGATATATCTAGTGCCTCGATTCAGTTGGTTAGCCGATAACCCAGGAGAACCGCAGCATCAGAAGGATTGGTCAAAGTGGACTCGTTCAAGACCGTTGGAGGCATAGCTGAGAATCACAGAATGAAGAGCGCTGACACTTAGGGAAAGCATACTACAAAAAGAAAACCGCGTTTCACGGGATGTCCTAATGAATTTGTCTGAGTCAAGTTAAAGTGCGTCCCGAAATTTATGTACTACTAACAAGGTACTCGAAGTGACACCAAACTAATTTTCAGTCAGCTGCATCAACTGAGCCCCATTGATAAAACAGGCGATCGAACATGTTACTCAATTAAACAATGCCAAATAAAACTAAGAGCCACGGAAAAGAAAGTGCAACCATTACCTTTGATGTGGACTTGAGGGAATTCCAAGCCTGCCATTTTGCTTTCTCTACTACATTAAGCATACCGGGTTTCTGGGTTGTGCAGTCTCCGATGGTAGCCTAAAATGGCATAAGGTCTACAGAAAAGTGTTTACTTGTTTGAAGAGAGCGTAAATGCGCAACTTCACATGGTTATCAACTTCGTTCTTTAAGGAACCCAAGGCGGCTTTGGCCTCATCAAAAGAGCTAATCCTTTTCGCGAACAAACGTTTAGAAGTACGGAGGACCGTTATGTGCGTCTTGAATACGTGATGGAATGGACTTGCAAGTTCAATAAAGCGCATGGTGAAGGATTTACCTAATAAGAACAGTGATGCAAACATAGAGAAGTGAATAAAACTGCGATTTCCACGTTTAGACAAACTAGATTAATTGATGAAAAGAGGATGAGACAAAGCAACCATTTTAAAGTTTCCACTCATTACGGTCAGCCCGTAGGATTGCCTCCCAATTGGTCGAAGCTTTCTATTTCGCCACTACCTAGATTGACCGTCAGTTTCCAGGGTCAGCGTATGAGGCTTGTTTGCTTATCCTATTTACGTTATTTGTAGTTTCGTTCGCCACTGGCTTATAAACCCTCAGGCATCATCTCGAAAGCAAGCAGGGCAAATTCTTCCTCAGGCATCTGTGGAGTAACTCCGTGATGATCATACTGTGCTCCGACAGCTTTATATTTGCCGACTGGTTTGACAAATGCTGTGCTTCCATTGGATTTTAACGAGACGAGCCTACGCCCTATATACATTGCACTATATTTCTTGGCAAGTTATTTTGACATTTTTAGCCTCAAAAGAGTTAATGCTCTTGGAGTCGTGAGGTCACGAAAATTTGCGCGTTGTTTCCACTACAACCGATTTTGTGCTATTGCTTTGAGCGCCGTAGGCAATTGGCATTCTTCATCTGCGGGTTCCAAAACAGGACATAAAGGGTAAAGTGAGGGTTAGGAAAGATACCATCGATTTCGTGCCTGCCACCCAGTGGTCAGCTGGTATCCACGCAGCCCTGTGTCTGCAAATAGGGCGAGACGTGATAGAAGCTCGCTAGACATGTGTAAGTTGTGGCCAGACCATCTCAACGAATGACAGAACATGCTCACAAGACGTGGCTTCTGACATCATGACTGTGTGCCAGATGTTGACACAACACACGAGTGATTCTTCTTAGACAGCCATTGCTGAAGATCGAAAGCCTACGACTGATCTACCCGGGTTGGCCAGGATATACGCCTATGCAACAGTATCACATGAACACAGGCGTTGTAAACCCTGTAATTTAAAGACTGTCACGAAGACGCCGCAAGTAGGCGAAGGTCGACCGCGCATAAGTGATACGAAGGAATACATCCACAACAATAATGTCGTTGAGAGAAAGGCAGCTCCGTAAATAAACAAAACTATTCACGTGCTCGAGCTGTGTGCTTCAGATGATGAGCTGGGACCAAAGCGTTTGTCCAAAGCGGTACTTTTCACTTGGATAAAGCAAAGCAATAGACAGTCATTAATTGCATACCATGAGCTGGCGCCAAGCAGTTATATCCTACAAATAGCCAGCTCCTTTGTGTTTCGTTACTGTCTTGAAGATTCATTCTGAAGTTACTGTATAAAGTATACGATGTCTTGCAAATGCTTGGATTGTTGTAAAGCTGTCACTTCTCGGTCTAAGGCTGTTCAGTGTTCCTTCTGCGAAGGGTGGCTGCACATTGCATGTTGTAAAATCGGCCCAGATCTGCGCGATCTACTGCAGAGGACCACTTCCTCAGTCGTCGTCTTCATTTGTGACACATGTCGCGCTGGACTGAGTGTCAGTCGCGTTTCGAATGGCCTACCTCCAATCAGTCCAAGTCCCTCATGTCTGCATTCTGTGCAAAAGCAGAAAGATCCTCCGCTGCCCCCCAACGCAAAGTATATCCTGACCTGTCGGACTCCAGCAAAGAAGGCAGGTACCGACACTGCACCGCTTGATAGACTGCCTGCACTGAACCGGCGTTTCTCTTCTGCTCAAACCGAAGCAATCAGCGATACTCCCTCTTTGGCATCCCCATGCTTCTCGTCACTAGCTTCTGATCCGGTTTCCTCCACTGGTAAGTCGACTGCTGTTGACTACGGTAAAGCCCCAAATACCAAGACTTATGCATCCGTAGCGAAGGAATGTGCACCACTGCCCTTGCCAGTACGAGTGATTGAAAGTAAAGGCAAGACAGATGTCAAGGTGAAAAGCAAACCGTTGTCTCCACAATCGCAGTTGAAGCTAATTCTGGATAGAGTCGGGCAGCTGGAAAAACTGCTTAAGGAGCGTCCACCTCCCCACATGCCGCAGCTCCCCGATACCAACAAATCACCCACTCGTGGCCGTTGCCTAATCATCATAAATGCTCCTAAGTCGTCCAAAACCACTCCAGGTGAAAGGATTATAGATGATCAAGAGTTTCTAAAACGGATGGTCTCCTTACTGCTCGACGAAGGTGAGCCAGGAATCAACATCGTCTACGCTTTCCGCCTTGGCAAGAAACAGGAGGACTCCCCTAAGGTTCGGCCCTTGAAGATTGTATGTCAAAACGATCATGAAGTCCATCGCATTCTCCGACGAGCACTGCGTCTTAAAAGAGAACCATTTTTCGTACTACGATACCTCTCTCCGGAGGATCGAGTAAAAATGAAGAAAGCGGTTGATGAACTTAGATCTCGTCGTGATAACGGTGAGACGGACCTACATATCGTGGGTTTTCGCGTACTTCGAAAAACGCCAAGAACTCGCTGGAGACCACTCCTTGTCATGCCAGGGCGTTAGAGTTGAAGAACGGACTGCGCGTGATTTCTTCCAATATGCGCAGTCTCAGAAACAAACTAGACGAAGTTCAGCTTTTTGCCTCCATGAATCGGCCGGATCTTATAGCTTTCACTGAAACCTGATTGTCCCCGGATATCCTGGACTCGGAAGTGCAGATCCCTGGATACCACCTTTGCCGGGCAGACCGCCATGGAGGTAGACCTGGGGGCGGTGTGATACTCTATGGGAAGATGGACTTCAAGGCTCATCTGGTTGAAGCTACCTGTGGAAGCGATGGCGACTTCGAAACTCTCTGGTGCCGTGTTCATGACGGATGCAGATCGCTCATGGTCGGTGTTGTCTACAGGGCCCCATTGGGTTCCGAAGCTTGCCTGCTGGACGCGATCAAAATGCACGGTGGAGACAAGGACTGCTTATTACTGGGTGACTTCGACGCCCCAAGTATCGACTGGGACCAACTGCATTCTGTTACCTCTTCAAACGCCTTTGATTTCGCTCCTTTAGAGACGGTTATCGAATGTAACTTATTCCAACACGTAACAATGCCTACTCGTATAATTGCAGGATAAACACCCCCTATTTTTGACCTTGTACTCTCACCGGCCTAGCCGTTCTTCAGCCCATTGGTAACAGCGATCACTGTGTGGTTTCATTCCTCTGGACTCGACGCCTTACTCTCCACAACCAAGGTCGCCTCCACAGAAATTTCTGGCGTGTTGATCCCCAAGGCCCACCAACGGCCGCCAGTACTGTAGACTGGTATACCCTAACCCCTGGACCTGGAGGATGAGTGGAACCTCTTGTACTCCAAAATGATTTCGCTCGTTGAGCAGGTCGTTCCTGTCTACA